TATCTGTTTCAATGGCAAAACCAAAATCAGGGCAAACAGACAAAATATGTTCATCATTAAATAAAGGAAATGAGCTAATATGAAGCAACGTCTGTCCTAACATCTGCCTCGAAGGCGCTTTGGACATTCTCTTAATGGGGACGGGTTCTCTCCCCTGTCCCTTCTCCGTCTACATCTTAGTTCAACCAACATCAACACAAAAATGAAATGAAATGTCCTATGTCTGGAAAATTTGGCATGAAACAAAGATCAAGGCTACTGGGTAATTCACTTAATGCTGTATAGTGTTTTCAAATTTTATTTTATTTTATTTTTTTCTGCTTTATCTCCCCAAACCCCCCTGTACACAGTTGTATATCTTAGTTGCAGGTCCTTCTAGTTGTGGGATGTAGGATGCCACCTCAACGTGGCCTGATGAGCGGTGCCATGTCCACGCCCAGGATCCGAACCCTGGGCCGCCGCAGCGGAGCGTGCGAACTTAACCACTCAGCCACGGAGCCGGCCTCTCAAATTTTATTTTAGAATTCCTGATGTTATCTTTGAATTTTTACATAGATTTTAATTTGGCATTTATTTTGTGTTGATGTTCCCTTTTTTACTATTTTTTATTATCAAATGTATCAGGTTGCAATCATTTTTTGCATATCATTGACATAAATAATTTTGTCATATTGCTTCAGATAACAATAAATCATGCATTCATTATTTTTTTCCACATAGTACTTCTGAAACTTTTATATAAGAAATGACTCACTATTATTATTATGGTCACTCATTATTATTTAAAAATAAATAAATCATACGAAAAATATATAATAATTTATGATTTAGGAACTCCTATCTCTCAACCTCAAATCCTGAGCATTAATACCTATTGGGAATTTGGAGGCATTTGACATTTTCCCAATTTCTTGACTGGTTTTTCTTATGATTCAGGAAAAGACAAATTTCCAAAGCAATGCCAGGAAGGAATTCCCATATGGACACATCACCAGGCACTGTCATGAGCTTGCTACACGCATTATGTCATCTAATCCTCACGGTAACCTAGAAGGCGGGGGCATGTTGGTAGCTCCATGTCACACATGAGCAAACTAAAACACAGATGAAGAGAACGTGACACATTCAAGACGCATGGCTAGTAGGTGGTAGAACAGGTTCCAACTCAGGCTGTCTGAGTCTAGAACATATGCTCTCAGCCAGTGCACCATCTTGTAGGCGGTTTGGATCTGGGAGAAAGGGTGGAAGTGGAGTGTACACTTATATGTGTTTCTCTCTGATTCGGAAGGACTTTCTAGTGCAAGTGCACAGCTTGTGTGGGCTGCAGTGTTGCTGTGGACTGAAACGGTGGGGTGTGATGTCATTTGTGCTTCCCAAACTGTAGTTCCACGCAGTTGAACTTTCCCTATTCTTTAAAAGAAAGAAGATCCAAAGAACATTTATTCCCTAACTTCATTTCAACAAATTACTTCTGTGCCAGAGCAGGCCAAGTGAAGTGACAGATTGAGGACTTAAGTCCATCTTGTGTCAGAAAGAGCCACATGCTTGTGGTTGGGAACAGTCTGGGGCTTGCTGAAGGCATGCTCCCGTCTCCACTTGGCCTTGACCACATGGGCAGCCCTGTTCTGCTTCTGGTAAATCCCCTCTTGCCAACGCCGTCTGCCTCATTCCCTGATTACATCCTGAGTTAGGTCTAGCATGGTACGTCAGCCTCGGTTCAGAAGACGTTTTTACATCCGTCTACTTGAGGAGTCTGCATCTATAGAGACAAAGGGGAGAACAGTGACTTCGCCTTTTAAAAATAACTTTATAAAGCAAGAATCTTTAAAGTTTACCTCTTTCTACATGCCAGAATGCCACTTAGATCAGCTGTTAAAAATTTCCCAAATTATCTCTACGGAAATGTTAACAAAATTGCTGGTTCTGTGTGAGCTGATCAAATTCCTAGAATTTCAGGGCTTAGGAAAGCACCACCTCCACAGTGTGTGGAATTCTGGGGTTGGTTGCCCAGAGATTATGGTTTTCGCGTGTGATGACATGAGGGCATGCATTGAAGATGGAGTTAGGCTGATGGCTTAGTTCAGTACTAACAGCGTTGGACTATCACATGGTTAGGAAATTTCCCATAGATGCACCCTGTAGACTATTGTGGTTTTCAGTGCCTTACTGGAAAGCCATATGTGTGTATGGTGATTATGAGCTTTGGACGCGGATAGACCTGATTTTGCAGACTGCTGCTGCTTGTGTACTGGGTGATCTTGGACAAATCGCAAAGCTTCTCCATCTTTGAAAAGTAGGGAATATAAAACTAAGCTTGTCGTGAAGATTTGTTGACATAAGTAAAGCTCTTAGTACGCTGCTTGTGGTACACAGCAGGCACTAAAGAGAACGTAGCGCCTTTATTTCTTCATTGAGCACCTTTCTGTGTGCTGGATAATTTCTGAGGATGGTAATATGATGATGAACAAGACAAACCCAGTCCCTTATCTTAATGAGACAAGTAGGCAAGAAATTGCGGTAAGTGGGGTAAGTGCCAGCTCTAGGGGATATGGGTGCTGGGATGCATAGGAGGGGATTTGATGAAGGCCCGGGAAATCAAATAGGACACAGAGGAGGAGAAAACAGTTCCCCCCAGCCTGGCCCAAGTGTCTGAGTGAATTCACTGAAAGGCGTCCACAGAGTTGTTTGTTTTAAGGAAAGGAATATACAAGTGGAAACAAGTAACCACCAGGTATGTTGACTTGGGCGTGTGCAATACAATGCAAATGTCCAAATTCATCAAGCACTGTGTTCTGGTTAAGTAAGACCTCCATATAATATGGGTTTGACCTTTATGCTCTCATCAAAAAATACAAACAAAGCAAAAAAAAAATTTCCTGTCCCTGACCTGTCTATTGAAGTTAATTCCTGTGTGGGTTTGATGAGTCAGTCCTTTATTAACACTATCCGCTATATTATGGCAAAAGGCAGAGAGATAACCAGGAGGGCTGGTGATGTCTGGACATCTTTCAGAATTCGTACACCCTTATTAGATGCCCCTCCTTTACCCCAGCACCTTGTATCCACTAGTGCTGGCATTAACCCGTTTATTGTGATTTCTTGCCTACTTGTCTCATTCAGGTAAGGGGCTGGGTTGGTCTTTTCTTTTTTTTAAAGATTGACCCTGAGCTAACATCTGTTGCCAATCTTTTTTTTTTTTTCTTCTCCCCAAAGCCCCCCAGCACATTGCTGTATATTCTAGTTGTAGGTCCTAGTTCTGCTTTGTGGGATGCCACCTCAGCACGGCTTGATGAGTGTTGCTAGGTCCGTGCCCAGGATCCAAACTGGCAAAACCCTGGGCCACCAAAGTAGAGCAGGCAAACTTAACCACTCGGCCATGGGGCCAGCCCCTGGGTTGGTCTTGTTCATCATGGTCTCACCATCCTCAGAAATCACTTCATACACAGAAAGGTGCTCAATAAATATTTATTGGTTAAATGACCTCATGAATGAACGCATGCCTGCTGTGGTCAGGTCTGCTTTTGCTGATACCTCTTCTCTGCTGCTGCCTTTGATCTAGATAGAAATTAAGATTGCCAGCAGATGAGGTAACTAAGTCTCAGTTTCATGTAAAAATAGTGAGCCTAGGGTAGAGAGAGCTCCAAGTATGGCCCCAGAAATACACGGACTTGGTGCCGGAAATGTGCCATCAGGAGGCGTTTCCACTGACTCCTAGATTGGCAGCCCTTCTGAGTGGTTCAGGTGGTTGGATGTAATTTGTTCTGCCTAAGGGAGGCAGTGAGGCCCAGAGCTTAGAGGGAGGACAGCCTTCCATCCAATTCCAAATCTGATGACTAGCTGTGTAACCTTACTGCTCATCAAAAGCCTCAGTCTCCTTATCTATTCAATGGGATTAATGATAATAGAACCTTATAGAGTCATTGTAAAGATTGAGATAATATATATAAAAGCTTAGCCAATGCTTGGTACATAGTAATAACTATTAACTTTAATTTTTATGATTACTATAAGTTATGTACATTTTATTTATAAGGAATAAATAATCAAACTATGCTAATGTTGATGAATTACTAAAATGTGAACTACTGAAACATTGCTTGGGAATATCGATGTGGTGGCCTTGCAAATGTACTGCTCAGATCTCCTGCTGTGGGGAACATAATTGACTGACAGCCCCAGCTGCTTCCTCCAAGATCCGCCACTGCTTCACCTGGGCAGCTCCCAACCAGTGACTGGGCACACTGGGGCTACTAATGCAGGCCGGTTCCTGCAAGGTGCGGGACTCCTTTAACAGGTGACGTCGGCTCAAGGACTCCCCATCAGCCTGGTGGGGACCCTCCATAACACTGTGCTGCAGTCTGAGATGCTCCCTACTGATCCCTCCTTCCTTCCGGCTCCTCTTCACAGGGGCCAGACCTGCTCTGCAGTCTGAGGCTCTGCCTGCCTTCTCCAGCTTCCTCTCTGCTTCCTTTACTGGCATTTCCTCTGGTAAACCTTGTCTTGGTGTCTGCTTCTTGGAAAATCTGGACTTACACAGACAGTTATAATGGTTGTTGGGAGTAACAGTCTGCACCCTTGAGCACAGAGTGGATACTTTTTCCATCAACTGTGAAGTGAACATTATTGTAATAAGTTTAACCTCATCTTTATGTTATTGCCTTTCCTCAGAATTAAAATTTGGTGTTACTGATCGTAAATTCTCTAGGATAGGCGTTAGCCGCTGTTTCCTCAGGGAAGGCTGCTAACATTTAGGACCTCTCACTAATCTGCAGATTAAGGCGTAAGATTGCCCTTAATTAGGACAGTCCTCTGTAGCTCCAGTCTTTAATGTGATGTCATGGTTTTAGTCTTTAGCATTCATGAACCAAAAAAGTTTTTTTAAAAACAGCTATTATAGCTCTTCAGTGTTTGTCTATTTTTATAGTCTTATCTTCTGCTAATTTCTTTGGTTTTCATATTTTTTCTCCTAAATCCTTACTTGATTATTATTTTTGTGACAGATCAGGTCCAGGGGACAGTCACCATCCGCAACATCAGCGCACTGTCCTCAGGTTTGTACCAGTGCGTGGCTTCTAATGCCATTGGAACTAGCAGCTGTCTTTTGGATCTCCAGGTTATTTCACGTAAGTATGTAAAATTCTGAGTCCACTCTGGGTCTGAGACGCCAAGGTCTCTGTCAAACCAGGAAATGAAGAGTTCTGCTGAATTGTTTTTAGGTTGTTCAAAGATGAAATAGAAATTCTTTCGGTTTTAATCGTTATTGAAAATATTTTAGGGGCTGGCCCTGTGGCCGAGCGGTTAAGTTCGCGCGCTCTGCTGCAGGCGGCCCAGTGTTTCGTTGGTTCGAATCCTGGGCGCGGACATGGCACTGCTCATGGAGTCACGCTGAGACGGCGTCCCACATACCACAACTAGAAGGACCCACAACTAAGAATATACAACTATGTACCAGGGGACTTTGGGGAGAAAAAGGAAAAAAATAAAAAAATCTTTAAAAAAAAAAAAGAAAATATTTTATAAATGTATTAGTATACTTTCCAGCCTCAGCAATGTGACATCTTCTTTATGACAAAATGTCTTTCTCCTCAGGATCCTTAGAATCAAGTCAGTTTTGATTATATAGTACTACAGATGTTATAAAAATTTGTGAGGATCTTACAGCCATGGCAAGACCTCCTTGCATTTTCTCTGTATCCCTTACATCTCCTTATTTGTTAGGTGGCCAGGTCATAAATAAGAAGTGCAGAAGTTTTCTCTTTAGTGGAGAATTCTGGGTTATTTGAATACCCGTTGCAGACGGGAGTGGTCTGGCTGGGAGGAGGTGCTAAGTTATCCCACCGATTGCCAGGGTTCCTTTGGGCCAATCAGGCAGGTGAGCATCCTTTTCCTGCTCCACTCTAGGTGTTGCTCTCCTGAAACACTGAGCCATGTAAGGTTCATTCCTTCAGTAAATGTCTGTGAACCTACTGTGTGTTAGTCCCAGCGACTGGGGATACAGAAAGTTAACTGAGGTTTCGCTTTATATGGATGGACTACATTAGGCAATTTTGTACATTTTAAGAAGATTCTATGGTAGTTTATAAAGTTGCATGTGTATATGCCATTTCTCTCTTTCTCGCTTCTCTTTTGGTTCTTTAAATCTACCTTAAATATATTTTGCAGCCCAGCCCAGAAGCATTGGACTAATAGCTGGAGCCATTGGCACTGGTGCAGTCATTATCATTTTTTGCATTGCACTAATTTTAGGGGCATTCTTTTACTGGAGAAGCAAAAATAAAGAGGAGGAGGAAGAAGAAATTCCCAATGAAATAAGGTTTGTGTGTCAGATAATTTGTCTTGCATAACTAATGTCTATTTCTATTCATTTTGGCAGCTACAATTTCTTTGCTAATCTTATGACTGTGATGTTCAAGACAGTTAAAGCAGCCAAATAATATTTTCTTGTTATATCATTTTTCCTCATGGTGCTACTCAGTTTTATTTACTGGATCATGAAAGGGGAGGAGGGTCGAGCATGTGCCTAACTAGGAGGACCCAAGGGAAGAATTTCCCCTCTCCTCCCCATCTCCAGGATAGGTGGGGTTAGGTGGCTGCCACAGTAGAAAAGTTAGTTTAAAACCTGTGTTTAACATTGGCATTTATAAGGGATGAGAGCATAAAGCAAGAAGGAGCACCGTAAGAGCATACCGGTACCTGTGTCCACTGAGGCCAAAGCAGGATGGCTTGGTGTGAAAGACAGTTCCATCAAGAATATGAACGTCTTAAGAAAACAGTGTCAAATGGTCTTTAAAGAGAAGTGACTCTTGGCAAATTGTCGAGATATGGGGGTTCAAGCTCAGTGTCAGATTGCATCACGTTATATCCTTTTGAAAGTGCTTTAATGACTCCAGTCTGCTTAGCATGACATACACGGCCCTTCAGGATCTTTCCCCGCTTCCCTGATCCCTTTGTGTTCCAGTCTGTTTTGTATTCTCTCATGCCTCAGGGTCTTTGCACAAGCCTCCACCCTCTTCCTTCCCTTTTCATCCAACCCTTCGGTAAATTCCTTGATCTGATTCAGGTCTAGTCCAGGCATCACCTCCTCACAGAAGTTGAGCCTTTCAGACTTGCAGATGCTCTTGCATTTTTGTCACCCCCGTTTGGCCATAATCTTCTTGGCTATAGGAGCTGTGTCTTTTTAACATGAAACATCTAGTAGAATGCCTGCTGCTCAAGAAATGTGAAATGAATTAGTTAACATGTTAAATTAAATTAATGACTTCTCCTAGCTTCTTGTAATTCTTAAGGGTTAGGACTTTGTGGGGTTAGATTTCATCCCTGCATCAGATTACCAAGGAAATCCTCTCATCAGCACACCACAGTGATATCTCAGACCCCGAAGTGTAAGAAAGTCAGGCAGCTCTAACCATTTCCTGGAGTTCCCCATACCTGGGGTTTGGTTTCCCAGCTATCTTACAGCAGCTGGCTCAGCGGATTTCTTCATGGACTATTTTCCTATTTAGAGGGAAAAAAAAATTTACACGCACACACAGACACACACATATATAAAGATACATAAACATGTACATATATATACAGGCACACATATATACTTTTCTTTTTCAGTTATATTGGAAGGCATGGTCTTTGAGAGATTTGGTATTACCTTTTTTTTCTCTTGGAGATTGAGAAGCTGAGGGAACTATTTTTCCTGAGCATTGTCTCAAAGGGAATGGATGTCAAAGCTGAGGCACCAGGACTGCTGGGTTTGCTTTCGGCATAATATGGTCTGTCCTGAGGGTTTGTATCTTGCAGACACACTGGCCGTAACTTAAGAGGAAAGAGTTCTGGGCAGGAGGGAGGGTAAACCTCAAGTGAATCCTAACAACAATTTTATTTTTGTTCCGTTTCAGAGAGGATGATCTTCCACCTAAATGTTCTTCTTCTGCCAAAGCATTCCACACTGAGATATCCTCCTCAGAGAACAACACGTTGACCTCTTCTAACACCTACAACAGTCAGTACTGGAGCAGCAATCCGAAAGTTCACAGAAACACGGAGTCACTCAACCACTTCAGTGACTTGCGCCAGTCTTTCTCCCTCCACTCAGGCAATGCCAATATACCATCCATCTATGCTAATGGGAACCATCTGGTCCCAGCTCCACATAAGACTCTGGTAGTGACAGCCAACAGAGGGTCGCCACCACAGGTCGTATCCAGGAGCAATGGCTCAGTCAGCAGGAAGCCGCGGCCTCAGCACACACACTCCTACACCGTCAGCCAAGCAACCCTGGAGCGAATTGGCGCTGTTCCTGTCATGGTGCCAGCCCAGAGTCGGGCCGGGTCCCTGGTATAGGACGTGAGTGGACGGAGCATTCAGGAAAGAATCAGTGGACTGCCCCATGCAAGGGGGAGGGGAGGGTGGGTGTGCGCTCGGAAAGAAACACTTTCCTTGTAGCGATACCAGTAAAAAGCGCAAAGAAGCAGGCAGTGCTGTTACCTGGCCACTAAGAGTTGTGTAATGAACTGGAATGTTCCACCATGAAGACTTGTTTCACCACCACAGCTGTCCCAGGATTCTATTCAAAAAGCTGGATCTCAAAGATGTGCCAAGCCAAGGAAAAAGATGCGAGAGCAGAATAGCACTTAAAGCTGAAACTGCAGTCCAGATGGGCTGGTTCTTTAATTCATGCCTAACTTAATAATTGTTCAAGAGACTAAAGTGCCAGACAGAATTTAAATAATGAAATGATTTAAAAAGATAGGCGTCTTTAGTAAAAGTAATGAGCAGCCCTGGGATACGTTCTGCCTCCCCCGTCCCCTCTTTGGAGAGGGCTTAATGGCAGAAATGGTTAATATCGGTCCCCACAGGGCTGCCTCTTGTATCATAGAATCAAAACTTTTTGCACAAACAAAATTCAGTAAGAAATAGGGGGAAACAAAAGAAACTTCTCTGAGAAGCCCGTTCCTATTTATTTATTTATCTCCTCCAGAACCATGAATTTCATATTTGGAATATTGCTATACGGACAGATTCTTGCCTGTCTATGTTTTTCTAGGGTCTGTTACAGGTCTGTGACGTTTACTGTTCATTATTTCCTGGAAAAAAATTTTTTTTAAAGAAAACTAATGGTTTTTAAAAATCATACATGAGAGGCATTGGGCTAGCAAAGCAAAGGCGACACCATGTGCAGTGAGTGTTCACAGAGCCCAGCAGGAGGCCCATCGCGGAAGAGCTGGGTTGAGTGGGCAGCACGAGAGCAGGAAGGCAGGTCTCAGGGGCGTCCGCTTGCTGACAGCCTCTCAGAGCTGGGCTGTCCAGGCCTCCCTGGCTATCGCAGTGGGTTCTTCTTAATGAGGGCAGCACCTGCTGCCTTTTGTACTGAGGTAGATAACTTTCTCCTTGTTTGACAAGTCGAGGTTAGTAGGTTGTTACAGGCAGGGCAGGAGTTGTTTTGTTCTTTTCCAAATAATTATTTTGCAAAAGAGATAAGACTGAGACAAAAGGCATGTCTTCAGATATGCTCCTGGGAGGGTCTGCCCTGTATTTATCACAGCTCAGGGTTGCAATTTCGCCCAATTGCGTTTTACACCTCTGTAAAGAGGCTCCTTTTGTGATTAATTACCTGGCTTGGCTGGCCTTGCAGTTCACCAGATAATTTACAAACTCCTCATTCTATTTGTGCCGCGTGGATCTGCCCATACTTGCATTGGTGGCTGATTCGCCTTAATCACACTTTGAGCAACACATGAATGATTTCTTCCCAAATTTGTTTCCTAAATTATTTACGACACTGAGCTTGTGATTTGATGAGTATCTTTTCTATCCCAATTCGTCTCACTCCCTCTTCCCACTTTTTCCCTTTTTGCCCTCTTTTCCTGTAATCACAGTTGTCACAGGGAAGGCCTCCCGATTTTCAGACCTATTTGAATAAATGGAACCCAACAGCTGCAGCGTACATTCGTTTTCTGAGAGGGCTAAGCTCAGAACGTAACCATTGCAACCATTCCAATATTGATGAGAAACTAAATTTACTTTAGCATTACTTATTTTTTCCATTTGATGGTTCTTGACTTTGTAAAAATTTAAATAAATGAATGTCTATACTTTTTATAAAGAAAGTGAAAATACCATGACAGAAAAGCTGATACTATCAGATGTTGTTTAGAAAGCATTTATCTTGCATTTCTTTATTCTTTCTAATTATCTAAATTTCAATAAAAGTTTATTCATATAAAAACAAGTTGTCTTTAATTATTAATTACTAATGAATATATGGTTTTTTTTTAAAAGATTGGTGCCTGAGGTAACATCTGTCGTCAATCTTCTTCTTTTTTCTCTTTTTTTCTCCTTTTTCTCCCCAAAGCCCCCCAGTACATAGTTATATATTCTATGGTTTTGTATTTAATGTTTCCCTTAATGTTATAAGCATTTTCCATTCTGTTAAATACTATTCATAATGACTAAAGTGAGCATATAATATTCCAAAATTATTTCACCTTACTCTTATTGTTAGAAATTTGAGTCCAATTCTCACGTGTATGACTGAAGATTTAATGGTCCTTTTCATCCATTGAGCTGTTTTCATATTTCCTGTCTGAAAGTTCATGAAGACAAAGCCCATGACTTTCACCCCTGAATCTCATTACCTAGCACAGTGCCTAATATGGGTGTTGAGTAGATAAATGACTGATGATTTCTCAACTGGATTTGCGAAGTTTCCGTTCAGAAAGTTATGACCCTGATTGATTGTGGCTCTTGATATATATTGACTCATTCCTTTAACTTTTTATTTTGAGATAATTATATATTTACATGCAGTTATAAGAAATAATAGAGATTCCCATATCCCCTTCACCTAATTTTTCCGAAGGGTAACATCTTGTGTAACTATTATACGGTTTCACAAATTGACATGGATACAATCCATCAACTTTATTCAGATTTCAGCAGTTATAGTGCACTTATGCGTGTGTGTGCGTGTGTGCTTGCACTTAGTTATATGCACTTTTGTAGTCACAGCCACCTCCTTCCTTCCCAAGTCCCTAATCCCTGATCTGTTTTCCAGCTCTACAGTTTTGTCATTTCAGGAATGCTGTATGAATGGAATCATGCAGTATGTAACATTTGAGGCTTGGCTTTTATTCACCAAGCATAACTTTCTTGAGAACCATCCAAGTTGTTGCATGTGTCAATAGTTCATTCCTTTGTTGCTGAGTGGTATTCCATGGTGCAGATTACCATGGTTTGTTTAACCATTTACTCATTGAACGATATGAAGGATATTTGAATTGTTTATAGTTTGGGGCTATTAAAAATAAAGCTAGTGTGAACATTTCTTACAAGTCTTTATGTGAATGTAGGTTTTCATTTCTTTGAGATAAACGCCTAGGAGCGCAGTTGCTCTTGCACCATTTGTTGAAGTCTATTCTTCCTCCTCCGGTGAATTGCTTTGGCCCTTTGAAAACAATAATTTAGATGTATTCGTGTTGACCTCTTTCTGAGTTCTGTAGCTGTTCCACTGATCTCTCTGTCTTTTCCTCCACCCAAAGTATGCTGACCACTGTAGCCATTTAACGAGCGTTGACGTCTGGTAGAGTGATTCCTTCCGCTTCATTCTTTTTCAAATCATTTTAGCTATTCTAGGTCCTCTGCCTTTTCATATCAATTTTAGAATAAGACAGTCTATGCCTGTAAAACACCTTGCTGTTTTAATACGAATTGCATTAACCCTATAAATCAATTTGGGTAGGACTGGCCTCTACTATATTGAGTCTTCCAACCCATGAACATGACCTGTCTCTCCTTTTGTCTAGGTCTTCTTTCATTTATTTCATCAGCATTTTGTAATTTTCAGGATACAGATCCTGTACATGTTTTATTAGATTTATTCCTAAGTTATTTAATTTTCTTTGAAGCAATTGTAAATGTTACTGTGTTTTAAATTTTAGTTTCTATCTATTTGTTGTTAGTAAATAGAAATGTGATTGAATTTTTTGTATTGATTTTATATTCTGCAACTTTGCTGAACTCACTTCTTCAGAGTTTGGTTTTTTGTTTCGTTTTGTTTTTTGTAGATTCCTTGGGATTTTCGACATACATAGTCATGTTATCTGCAAATGAGAACAGTTTTATTTCTTGGTCTTCAATCTGTATGCCTTTTGTTTTTCTTGCCTTATGTCAATGATTGGAACTTGTAGTGCTATGTTAAATAAAAGTAGGGAGTGTGATGGCCCTTGTTCCCAGTCTTAGGGGGAAAGCATTCATTCTTTTACCATTTAGTATGATGTTGCAAGTTTTTGTAGATGCTTTTTATCAGTTGAGGAAGTTTCACTCTATTTCTAATTTGCTGAGAGTGTCTTATCATGTGTATGTGTGGGATTTTGTCAAATATTTTTTCTGCATCAATTGATACAATCATATGATTTTTTTTTCTTTAGTCTTTTAATAGACTGGGTTATTCTGACTGATTTTCAAATGTTGAACCAGCCTTGCATGTCAGGAATAGATTGCAGTTGGTTATGGTGTATAATTTTTTTTTAACATTGCTGTATTTGATTTGCTAATATTTTGTTGAGTATTTTTATTTGTAAGTGCATAGAATTATCTCGTAAAATCATCTGTGCCTGAGATTTGTTTTTCAGCTTTTAAATTATTAGTTCAATTGCTTTAATGTTATAGTATTATTCAGGTTATCTGTTTCATCTTGATTGACTTTTGATAGTTTGTGGGTTTTGAGGAATTGATCCCTCTCTTCTAGCTTGTCAATTTTGTAAGTGTAAAGGTTATTTGTATTTTTCCCTTATTCTTCTAATGAGAGCAGGATGTGTACCAATATCCCTTGTTTCATTCCTGACATTGGTGATCTGTGTCTTCTGTCTTTTTAATTTTTATCAATCTTGTGTGAAGTTTGTCACTTTTGATTCTTTTCAAATAAACACATTTTTCTTTGATTGATTTTTTTTCTGTTTTTCTGTTTTCAGTTTTATTGATTTCTGCTCTTTATTATTTCATCCCTTCAGCTTGCTATGGGTTTATTTTTCTCTCATTTTTCTAGTTTCTTGAGATGGGAGCAAAGAATTGAAACTCTTTCTTCTTTCTTAGTCAGCATTTAGGGCTATAATTCCCCCCCCCCCCCGCCCCCAATACTTCTTTAGCTGCATCCACATATTTTGACATGTTGTATTTTCATTTTAACTCAATTCTGTGTGTTTTTAAAATTTCCTATGAGAATTCCTCTTTACTCGTGGATTATTTAGAAATGTGTCAATTTCCAAGTTATTGAAGTTCTCTGGTTGTCTTTCTGTTAATGATTTTTAGGTTGAAATTAGAAAAATAATTGTATTATTTTAGTTCTTTTAGATTTTTTGAAGTTTTTTTTATGTCCTAGGACATAGTCTGTGTTGGTACATGTTCCATGGGCTCTTAAAAAATGTTTATTCTGCTGTTGTTGGGTGGAATGTTCTGTATATGTCAATTGGATCCTGTTGGATGCTTGTGTTGGTCAGTTTTAAATCCTTACTGATTTTCTATCTAGTAATCAGTTGCTGAAACTGGGGTGTTTCAACTATTAGTTATTAGTTGGTGTCCCCAACTATTATTGTAGATTTGTCTGTTTCCCCTTTCAGCTCTACCAATTTTTGCTTCGTGTATTTTGAGGCTCTTTCTTTGGTGCACATATATTTAGAATCTTTATGTCTTTCTGGTGGATTGATCCTTTTATCATTGTGTAATGTCCCTCTTTGTCTCTAGTAATTTTCTGTAAAGTCTACTTTATCTGGGATTAATTTACCACTCCTACATTTTTTAAATTAATGTTTGTGTGGTATACTTTTTTCCATCCTCTTATAATGTTCCTATGTCATCATATTTGAAGTGAATTTCTTGTAGACAGCATATTGTTGCATCATATTTTTTCATCCACTCTGCAAATATCTATCTTTTAATTCATATATTTAGACCGTTTACATTTAAGGTAATCATTGATATATATAGGGCTGAAATCTATTTAATTTTTTGTTTTCTGGGTTTTTTTCCCCCTCTGTTTCTTATTATCTGTTCCTCTTTTCTTACTTTCTTGTGAGTTACTTGAATAATTTTGATTTATTTATAGTGTTTTTGAATATATCACTTTGTATAATTGTTTTTAATGTTAATTCTAGGTATTACAGTAAGCATACTTAACATATCACAGTCTACTTGTATTGACATTTTACCACTTTCAGTGAAGTGTGAAAACTTATTTCCATATATATCCCTTTTCTTTCCCCACTTTTAAATATCTTTTTCTTGATCATAAGATGATATATAATTTTTGTTTCAATCATCAAATATGATTTATAAAATTCATGAGGAGAAGTCCATTATATGCACCTATATTTCTGCTTCTTTATTCTTCTTTCTTCCTTCCTGATGGTCCAAGATTCCTTCTTTTATCTTTTCCTTTCTGTTTGAAGAACTCCCTTTAGCCGATTTGTAAGGGTAGGTCTGCTAGCAACAGATTCTATTTGGTTTTCTTTTGTCTGAGAATGTCTTTATTTCCCTTTCATTCTTCACTGGATATGGTGTTCATGGTTGACAGTTCTTTTCTTTCAGCACTTGAAAAATCTGGGAAGTGTTCAACCATTATTTCTTAAAATACTCTGTCAGCCCCACTCTCTTTCTCAAAGCTTCCTGGGACTCTGATGATGGATCTTTTGTTATTGTCCCACAGGTTTCTGAGGCTCTCTTCATTTTTTCAGTCTGTTTTCTCTCTGTTGTTCAGGGTAAATCCTATTGATCTGTCCTCAGATTTACTGATTCCTGTCTTCTCTTGTTTCCACTATACTGTTGAGTCCATCCAGCAAGTTTTTTATTTCAGCTACTTGTATTTTTCAGTTTGGCAACTTACATTTGATTCTTTTTTAAACAAAATTTAATTATTAATTTAAATTTC